CACCACGTTTAACTAAGTTAATAGGCAGCGAAATTCATATTCAGTCCGTTAGTCGAAATATGTTTGGCAGTCCTTGTTACGTCCAAGGTTTTTCAGTCTTCCGTTAGCGGAGCACGGTATTTCGATCTACGTGTAATTTACGAACTCAAATTATCAACTCTTAGATAGTCACCAAAATTTATTTGCAAATTACAAATAGTCGTTCTAATAATAATTGTAACAACTGCAAAACGGACCATCAATTTTGTAGGTTTCCGGAGTAGAAACTTCCAATAAGCAGGCCGAAGACAAAGAGAACCCAAAATTTCCAAAGATAAAGATATAAAGAAACAAGTTTAGAACTTGGGTAAGACAAATACACCCAAAAACTGTGTGAACATATCAATATTCAATATAAGAGTTTTAAATTAGCCAGATATATTTAGTTCTGCTGTATCAGTTCTTCTCAGATTGAAAAATTCATTGGAATACTAGAGGCAAATGTTTGGACTCAAACAATGAATGATCGTGCAGTGAATAAACACACGAGTGAGGCGATCGGATGTATCTGAGCCCAAAATTACAGAACGTCTTGCTGAAATCTGAGAAACATATCGTAAATTGTTAATTTGCAAAGTGTCAATCATACGACAAAATAGCAGTTCAATGTTTCCACGTTTTCAACGGTGGTTTAACTAAGATCAGTTTATGATTTCAGTGAAATTGAACAATCTCCGTAAAGCCATACTGATAATTCGGACACATACGGTTTGAATTTAGTGGTAATTAACATACATTTGTCAATAAATTACAGTGCGAACACATTCACGATATCATACCATACACCATATATGACTATGTAAGCAATCATGTGATAGTCACTTCCCAAGATCTGATTTCTTGTCACAAACGATTGGGAATTATTTATCATTATTCATTTGAACACACAAATATTGCTACAAAGAGGCACAGAATACATATGCGCCACAAGAGTCACTTGATTTGTGTGTGGACTGTGATAATGCCTGAGCGCCCAAACCAATGCAGGTGGTTTTCTTAGGAGACACAACCCGAGCCTTTGACAAGACAGAGAACCAGCATAAAAAGATGTCGTCCCATGATAGCATGTGACCAACAGTTTGTTCGCACGCCATTTGTTTCCTTGGGATCCTGAAGCCGATATGCCCCAATCGTTTGGAGCCAGGATTTCCAGCATCCATAGGTGGATACCCCAATTCCACCACCAAAAAGATGAAGCGATTTAATTCGTCATTTGCACAGCAACCACTTAATTCATTGTTTCTCATATCGTTGGCCATAAAAATCAAGTGAAAGCAAAGTAATTGTCCGACACAATCACTAACTAAACTTACATACTTACTTAAGCTTGTTACTTCTCGTGAAGGAGAATAAACCGCCCAATAGCACTCCCCATCCAACCCTGTCCTGGACAAACATTTCCAGCTCATTCCAGTTGTTATTCATCATTTTCATATCTGATTCTATTTCCCAACGTGATGTGTACTTTTGCCTTCCTCTCTTCCACTTCAGTTCAGGATCCCAAGTTGGGGCTTGCCTCGTGATGCAGTTCGGTGATTTCCGTAATATATGTCTTATCCACTTCGATCGTCTTTTCCAAATTTCCTCTTCAGCTGGAAGCTGGTTTGTCCTCTCCCAGAGAAGACTGTTGCTGATGGTATCCGGCCAATGGATGTTGAATATCTCGCGTAGACAGTTATTTAAAGATACTTGTACCTTCTTGATAATGGTTGTTGTAGTTCTCCAAGTTTCAGCCCCGTCCAGTAGGACTGCCTTGACGTTGGTATTGAAGATTCTGACTTTGATATTGGTTGAAAGCTTTTTGAGTTCCATATGTTCTTCAATTGTAGGGATGCTGTCCTTGCTTTGCCAATCCTCGCCTTTACGTCTGCATCTGAACCTCCTTGCACATCGATGGTGCTTCCCAGCTATGTGAAGGATTCTATATCTTCCAGAGTTTCTCCATCAAGAGTGATTGGATTGCTGTTCTCCGTGTTGTATTTGTGGACCTTGATTTTCTCTTTGTGTATGTTGAAGACTACTGCTGCACAGTGAAGATAGTCCAAAAAATTTTTTTTAACTCCTATGTTATCAGAAATTGGCATTTTGTTGATATTTTAGTGATATTAAAGTTGAGTTCATTTGTCAATTTGTGTTAATTTCCAACTAATTTGTATATTATTAGGCGCCACAATCGGAATAAAGGATAAATATATTCTAGTTTGTTTACAGTTTTTTCTTTCACCCCATGTCTGGTACATTTACAGCTTTTGGAATATCAGTTGCTATATTCAATTTACTTCTACCCCAACTTCACACACCAACTAACCTTTAAATACTCTGGAAGAATTCAACCTATTTGACATATTGCAATATACCAGAGACTCCTAGAATTATTTCGTATGCTTTTGGGTTCTGTGTTTGAACAAACTGATTCTCATAACTGTGCTTCACGGCTCCAACAGTCTTTCAATTTGTAGGAAGCTTGTACAGGCATTGTTTATTAATTACGTAAGTATTCAGGTCGAAAGTGAATGTCACTTCAGGCGGAAAACATGAAAGAGGAAGTTTGGTTCAAATTCTAGAAATGTGACTTAAAATATCTAAATTTAAATATACAAGTAGATTCAGACTCATCCTTCCTCGCAGTTTATCAACTATCATCCATATGTAGCGTGGTGTCGAGTCGTAATTGACTATGAACGCCACTACAATTAAAATCGTACCAAACAAATCAGAAGGCGAAGGTTGAATGTAACCAGATTTATTTCGTTGGGGATCTTGTGGTATCGGACGAATAGCAAGATCGTGCCAAGAAATGGTACAAGCGAAAGCAGGAGAATGGAGTACGTGCTAACAGTGCCAAAAAACCGCGGAACAATGATAGAAGGTAATGGAAACACAATACAGCTGTCATTAGCACAGTTAAACTAAGAGCACACTAAACAAACACAGGCACAATTGGTAATAATAATAATTGTTTTCATTAAACCAACCGTGTTCTCGTGATAAAAGTGAGTCACTACAGGAGCCCTCTGCTAGAAAGAGTTTACACTTTCGATAAATAGCGGTTTATATCGTGGGCCTGACCGGCTGACGAGCGATTGTAGGACGGTGGAATTGGCGGAACAGGAAAGCGATCACTGATCGTCGAGTTGCCAACGCAGGTCTTTTTCGGAGAACGGTACCACTGGCGGTGTGCTGTGTTTGTTGCTTCAGTTGGTATGCCACACCAGAGTGGTTTGTATCCATAATCTGAAGATTACGTTCGTAGGGATGCGGACCAGATACGCTGCAGACGTGGAAAGAAACCACGTTGAGCCGAGGAACCAGAAGCGACCATAACGACCAAGTTCGAGACCAACCATATCGGTTGTTGACTGTGTGACTAGTCGCGGAAGCGTACGGGTAACCGTGCTCGGCGACCGGAACGTGAGACGGTAGTCTCGTTCGCATCGCGTGAGCCTGCAATCTCATCCAAGGTCAGAGGCGGCGTGGTCTGCTGATCAGGACGTGAGACTGCCGTCTCGTCCGTAGACGGTGCAGATGACGCGTGCTGCTGACCGGGACGTGAGAATGAGGTCTCAGATGTATCTAGTGTGGGACCTGAAGATGGTTTGCGGATCCCGCTAGTAGGTTTGACATGTCTAGCATTGAGTCTCAGGTTGTCGTGTAGGGCACTGTCATTGACGCTTGCCAGCTTAAGACGATCAATGCTGACGATCTGAACGCGGCCATGTCGATCAACCTTGAAGGTCTCTTTGTGACTTGCGATCACGTGAAAAGGGCCTTCGTAAGGTTGTTGCAAATATTTGCGTACCGAATCTACTCGTATGAAAACATGTGAACAGGTAGACAACTCTCGAAGGAGAGCGACCTGTCGATGTTGTATTCGTGTTGACACCGGAGACAGCATTCGCATAAATGCAGACAGTCGTTGGGCGTGGTCTGATTTACCGAAATCAGGTCTTCTCCGTGGTGTGAAGAATTCCCCGGGCAGACGCAATGTCGTGCTGTATACAAGTTCAGCGGGGATATTGGATATCTGCCCTCAAGCTCGTCCTGATGCCCAAGAGGACGAGCGGTAGGTTTCGTACCAGTTGTCGTTTTCGTGTGCTCGAAGAGCATTTTTAAGTTGTCAATGAAACCATTCAGTTTATCCTTTTGATGGTTGGTGGTAGACGGTAATGCGTATGCGTTCCGTATCAAGCAGCCGGGTGAGCGAGGAGAATGGTTAATAGGGGAAACTTTCTAGAATAAAGCGTGGAATTTATCGTCACGCGAATAAAAAGTGCCAAGGATTCAGTACGCATACATGAGAGTCTATTATAATAATACTACTCTATTCGCTATCCGCCATGTCGAGTATATTATAGATCAAAAAATAATATGAAAATATACGACAGACGTGGGTAGATAAACGATAGACTCACCGAATTGGCTTCTTTGGAAGATTCGACCAGAGGTTGTGTCGTGTTCCAGAGTTAGGCTCACCAGTTACAGCGTGGTGTCGAGTCACGGTGGTCTATGAACACCACTACAAAGGAACGCGTGCCAAATAAATCCATAAAATCCCCGGAAGCGAAATATCAGAAGGCAGTGAATGGACCAAGTCGGGATATATTTGCTGGCGATCTCGTGGTATCGAAAGAATATCGAGATCGTGCCAGGATACAAGCTTGGTTACAGAACGTAACCGAATTCGTGCGAGGTCACAAAGTGTTAGAGTAATAATGGAAGCATAATATAGCTGTCATTAGCACAGTTAAACTAAGAGCACACTAAACAAGCACAGGCACAATTGGTTATAATAATAATAATTGTTTTCATTAAACCAATCGTGTTTTCGTGATAAAAGCGGGTCACTACACATATGTGAAATCTACCAAATTTATGAAAGAAGCTAGGTGTAAAACATTTCTCGCTTCCAAATATTTCAAAGCAGTGGTTTAATATCAAAATCAAAGTGCAAACAAACTGACTGACTGTCAAGTTCGTCACAAGGTCACTATCCATTGTCTGTTGGGATTATGTGGCGGGGTTATGAGTTTGGCGGCGCGGCGGCTTAATTTCCTGTCAGCGCGTAGTTTTAGTCCTGGTTACTATTCTACTACGTTTTCAACTTCTCAAAAGACGTGGTTGACAAAATTGAACTCAGAATACAATAGTCTCGTCAAAATTGTGTCTAATGAATTAATACTCAAACAGGATTTTGTTACAGAGAAGGAAGAGTCAAGTTTGATAAGTGAACTTGATTCTGTACTTTGCAAACGAAAGTACCAAACGAAGCACTGGGATTATGTAAGTTATTCAAATATTTGCTTTTTTCACTTTGAAATGGCTCCTACTCTTCAAAAAATGAAAAAGTTTTGAGATTGCAATTGCCATCTAGATGACGTTTCATTAGCTCTAAAAAATTAATATACCCTACTTTATCTAAGGCGTAAGGAGAAAATGAACTCGTTCGACGCTTACACCGCTTCCAGTCATTTGGGCTATTTTGAATAAACAGCCATAGTAATGAAATAATCGCTTTGTTGATCTGCGCTTTTGTTTTTAGTCATAACAAAGTCTTAATAATTCTTGAAACAATTAAGGCTATCAGAAGGATTTTGGTGCAGTGGGTGCTTGTTTTTCTTCGCTCATTCTCTGTCCCAGTTTTTTCTTGATTCTGCGCTCTTTTTATCCATCTAGTTTGCCATCTTTCTTTTGGTATAACCATATTTAATCAACTGTTTTCCCTTTGGTTTTGTAGATGTGGACACCTTTACTGAGCTGTAGGTTGTTTACATCTGAGGCTGAGTTTATCCACAAAAATCGTGCATGTTTTCAACCCCTAGAACTTAGAAAAGAGAAAAGTTTATCGTAGTTTATTACTTTCTCAAATGTTTCTCGTATTTGGGTTTTCATTCCTCTTGGTCTGAGACAACCCGTATCAGTGTACAGTATTTCTAAATCCCCACGTCGCTGATTAATTTATGAATCCAAGCTAAACAGCTAGTTTTAACTGTAAAATTTATATTGAGAGTTGATTTTAAGAATATCTTTCTACAGTTTTAATGTGGCAATAGTGAGAAGTCGATCTGGTTACTTTACGTTCAACCATTCGATTGTGATTGCTGTATAGTAATATTAGGTGGTGCAGTAGCTTATTGGTTAATGGTTATTTATTTATTTGTTTAGACATAAATATTGGTACATGGGGGCACCAAATATATGCGCCACACTTTGCCACGAAATTTGTGTGAGGGATGAGTTGCTGTCCGGGCATCCAAACAAAACATAATTTTTTTGGGAGGACACCCTGAACCTTCGACCTCAAGGACTAACCCACAAGGCAGAGGAGCAACGTAAGGAAATGGAGTCTCATGGTAGCAGGTGACCAGTAATTGGTTCATACGTCGTTTGTTTCCTTAGGATCCTGGAGTCGATGTGCACCATTGGTTTAGAATCAGGGTTTTCCAACTCCCCTAGGTCGATCCTACACATCCACCAACCAGGTTAAAGCACTGGATATTCGCTTATTGTCCTGTCGTTTTCGTGAACAACATTCCTGCCGCAAGAAGGTATTAAGTAGGACTTCCTGACAGTGGCTATGTACGCGTAGCCATGTGGGAGCATATTGAGAATGAGAGTTGGCTTTCCTCATTCCCGGTTGTACCAGGGCATTTAGAGACATTACATATAGACACTATTTATTACTTGTTTTGTCCTAGGATATCGTTATCATTGAAACCTTACTTGAACAGTCAGTCTATTTTAAATTGGAATTTCTGTAATTTTTCTATGCATTCCTGTACAAGTTTTGTATATTCTCCGAAATGCTATTTCTTTTTCTCTATATTTCTTCCAGGCTATTAAGAATTTTCGTGAGTTGGAACGCAAAAGTTGGCATTCAACGACCAACCAGCTTGTTATCAATCGATTGAAAGCATCAACTACTGTAAGCAATGGTTTAACGGCATCAACAACGGCTGTGGAAGCAGATGTTGCAAATATTGACCAATTAGTACTTCCATTAATTCACGTTTTGGATTTAGCTGAAAATGGGGAGATAATGGCGCATGTGGATAGCGTTAAAGTATATTGTGATGCCATTTTTACCCATACATTTCTATATGTTTGGCTTTAGCTTTCTTTCTCATTCAGTATTTTAAATTAATGTATGGTCAGATTGTTTTTTAAATTGTATTGCATTAATGTATCACATAGGTTTCTGATAAACTCCATCTCCTCATTAGATTATCTTAGAAATCTCAGTCGTATCTGCCACTTCAATCTGGTAGGGTGAGTTACATTTCGTGATGACCTTGTTGAGCTTAATTAGCCAAAGTACTTGTTCTTTTGTGTGATCCCAGACATGCTAGTTTGAGAGGTGTAAGAACAAAAGTAGCAACATGAGGTCCGATAACGAAGTCATACTGATGACTGTACTGGAGTGTGACATTGGTAGAATGCTTCCGTAACAAAACCAGTATATGGATCTATGTTACTTCATGAAATCGGAAGGAGTTGGAAAAGATCAATCCTAAGGGAACCAAATGTCACGTTGTTTCACGGACTTCCATTATTGGTGGTAAGGCCTCAGAAGCACGAGGCTAACAGAAAAGTAGTCACAAAACCCCATGTGATCATCATGAGACAGTTGTCCTTTGGTCCCTGTGGTCACGCTTTTATATCGTCAAGACCTCAACTTATTCGGTTTATTTTTGAGTTGTTTAAAGAAGAGGTCTTGTACAGTATGGCCAACCAATAAGCGGCAAACGTCATCATTCCTGTAAAGGCACTCAAGGTCACCATGTTGACTGTCTCATGCATGTTAGGTTAGTTGTTTTTTCCTTGTAATAACTTAACTCGGTAGAACTCAGAATTTTCATGTTGTTTATTTCCAGTTCTGTGGGGAGTCAATCGCTGTGCTAAGTTTATTATCTGATTCAATTTTACGTTTAGCTGTCGCTCCACAAAGTGAAGTAGTGGGTGTTCCGCAAGATCAGTATGATTATTTAAATTCACTAAACTTACCACCGATTGGTTCATGGATAGATATATTTATACCTAGACGATCCGTGTATATTATGCGTGGTGCACTACGCTACTTATTAACACATGCTATTTTGTCTAATGAACAAGTCGATAAAATGCGAAATGAACAGTCGATTGATTTATATAATTTACACCGTGGACGACGTGTATCGGTTATTTGCCGTACACATTCAGTCTGTAATCTTATTCCTTATTATGATATGTTGAAGCGTCATCGAATGATGTAAATACTTAATTTTATGCGGTAAAGTTAACTGTATATATGCACGTACATGTGTACTTAATTGTACTGTAATTGTTATTTTGAACAATATAATTATTCTCACTAATTTTATATTTTGCTTTTAGTGGATTTTGTGTTTGAATTATTGTCCCATGTATTTAAAAATTGTGTTATAGCAGATTTTTTTAAGAAAGTATTTGAAGGCAATTCATACCACGGAATGACAAATAGCTATGTAAAACCACTGGTAAGGCCTAATAAATGACTATTTGGTTTGAATATATGCAACTCAGAGATATGCATCCACAACTCTTTAAAAGAGAGTGGAATTCAGGACTTTTAGAACGTTCAGCGAATATGTTGTATTTTGTTACCATTGAATAATTTACAATCTCAACTTCAGTCGCTTCTCGTTAAATTGTGTGACTGTTGTCTAGTGGTGAGCTGTATGTTTGTAGCAAGGTGCATCAATTTTGAATTTGGTCACAGATGGGGTCATGTTGGTCCACATTGCTAGTTAGTTATTTATCAGGATAAAGCTACTGGATTAATTCGTAATTTTTGACGGTTGTTATCAGTTCTCGAAGCCATTGATTTTCGTTCCCAAGCATTCGGGATACCCGAACTACCTGGTTTGGATCCGCGTGATAACCACGATCAGCAGTTGAGAAACATTCAGTAATATGACTCGAGATCAGTCACAAAGGGGCAGATGCATTCACAAGTTATTCTTTTCCTAGATCTTTAGTCCCAATATTTCTTTAGTGTATGTCTTTTTGAATCATATCTCCAATGTTTAGTCTCTGCGATTACCATTGATGCTACATTATTTCGATTCCCTTGACATTCATTTTTTTAAATTCATCTCGTGGTAATCTGGTGTAGTAAGTTAGGCTAACACACGTATCATGATTTACTGTAACCACGACTAACTGATCAACTTAAATCTGCTTATAATCCATGTTATCTTCTAACTCTACAGGTTTTTACAAAGACTGTTATAATCTCTCTCTTACGGTTATTACCCAGCTATTCCTATTGCTTAGTATTCTCGGACACCGATTCACTCGACAAGTCCCCAAATCAAAACACAATTGAACAGGAAAGAGATTATATTCAAATTACAAGGTTGCATGGAAGTAAGAAGCACAATAGGAAAAACTTTAGTATATTTGTAGTTTTTACATGAGAAAATTTTAGAGTGTTCTCCAAGTATCGACTAATGCTGATTGGATAAGAATTAGCCAATCAGCGTGCATTGAAGCAATCATGTATTGAGCATGCTTTAATCCAGTCTATGTCCCGCTAACACCTCCCCTTTGAGCAGATTCATAGGATCTGGTGTGTCGAGGACGCTTACGCTTCTTCTTGGGCCGAGACGTACGATTTGGTGGACAATGACCTTCTTTATGTCCACGTTTGTTGCACACCTGACATTTATGCTTCTTAAATGGACAGAATCGTACATAATGCCACTCACCACATAACCAGCATGCAGTCGTTGGTTTGTTGCGAGTTGTTATCGGCTTCTGAACTTTTAACCTAGTAATAGCATTGACACCACTGCAGAATAAATCAGGATTTGCCTATTCAACCAACTCATTGTCGTGTCTGATGCTTTGTAGCCGCTTACACTCATCTGTCAATGTTTTGAGTGTGATGTTTGGGTCTTGGTCCAGTCGAGTCAAAAGTCTAGTCCTGATTTCAGCATCTTGTGGTGACTAAAGAGCTTTGATGAATATTAAACATTTAGATTGGTCTTCTGTCAACGAGCATAACTTGAACCGTTCACATTCTCTGTTGACAATGTCTGCTAGAACACCATATTCATCGGTTTCGCGTTTCACCAAATTTAGACACTGATATCGAATACTAAACAATGAGGATGACTCACCGAATATCTCTGACAATTGAGTTGCCGTCTCCTTGAAACTGAGCTCTCGAGGTAACTTTGGCAATATATGGCCAGTATAACGTGCATGTTCATTGCTTCCCAACTTACGTACCAACAATCGAGTCTTCCACGCGTCGTCTTGGTTACAGAATTCTGTTCTAAATGTATCTTCCCAACGCTTGAACCACGTGAGAAAAGTATTTCCACTTTCGGGATCATAGATGAACTCTGGGATGCTGCTAGCAACTGCATCACAAGACTTGCTTGAAATAACATGTGAACTCGAGCTGTGGATGTTGAGCTGTTGAGTCAGAGTCTCCAGCAACCGCATTTGGGCACCAATTTGTGCTTGCTGTTGTTGTAGTATTCGGTTAAGCTGGTCATCTGATATGGGCATCCTGAATTTGTTTTCCTTTTTCCCATCGCCATTGTTATAATCTCTCTTACGGTTATGACCCAGCTATTCCTATTGCTTAGTATTCTCGGACAGCTATTCACTCGACAAGTCCCCAAATCAAAACACAATTGAACAGGAAAGAGATTATATTCCAAATTACAAGGTTACATGGAAGTAAGAAGCACAATAGGAAAAACGTTTATTTACTTATTATTTTATTTTAGCACATAGATATTGGTACAAGGAGGCACCAAATACATATGCGCTACACAAATCTCATTCAATATGTGTGAGGGCTGTGATACTGCCCAAGTCCCCAAACCGGAGCAGGTGGTTTTCTTAGGGGGCCACACCCGGAGCCTTCGACCTGAAGGTCTGATCTACAAGGCAGTGGAGCATCGTAAGGAGATGCAGTCCCATAGTAGCTGGTGATCAACGATTGGTTCATACGCCATTTGTTCCCTCAGGATACTGGAGCTCATGTGCACCATTGGTTTGGAACCCGGTTAAAGCGCCAGACATTCGCTTTTCGTCCTCTCATTTTCGTAAACAACACCCAGCCACAAGGAGGCAGTGAGTAGGACTTCCCTGGCAGAGGCTATATACGCGTGGCCATGTGAGAGCATTTCGAGAAGGAGAGCGGACTCTCCACACTCGCCCGTACCAGGGCATTTGGGGGCATGAGAAGATTCTAGAGTATTCTCCAAGTATCGACTAGTGCTGATTGGATAAGAATTAGCCAATCAGCGTGCACTAAAGCAATCATGTATTGAGCATGCTTTAATCCAGTCTATGTCCCCTAACAGACTTCATGTTTACAGAAAAATATCCAGTTCTTTCAGTTTATTGAGATAAGTTCTCGTAGCAATCATTACTGTTTCAAGTATTTATGTTTCGAATGATTTGTTTTGGAGCTGTAAGGTTAAAAGCAACAAATTAAATTCTGAAGGGTGGGGATATACATTACTGATTGTACTGGAGTGTGGTGAAGGTAAAATCTCTGCCTCAGATGACCAGTATCTGAGTTGACATTGCCTTATAAAGATTGTAGGACAAGGTTTAAAAAGATCAGTCCTCAAATTAACACACCACGACGCTCCGCGAATTTCCATCGCCGGCGGTAAGTACAGGGCCAACAGAGAATAGTACTCACAAAAAGGACATGTGACCACCGACCTGAAGCAGTTGTTCTTGGTCTTTGTGATCATACTCACATGTCGGCGAGATTACTACCAGTCCAGTTTCTTTTCAAGTTGTCAAAGGACAAAATATCTTATTATAGTGTGGGTATCCGGAAAGTGACGACTGCTGTCATACGTCTGATAGCACTGTGGATCACTTTGAGTGGTCAATTGTGTGTTTGTCTTTGTATATTGTTTTTTATAACTGCAATAAAAGAAATTCATGGATTTTTGAATATTTGACCACTGATCTTGAATAAGGGTGAGCATAGTTTCGTGGTGGCCTACTCAAATGTTTGAATCGTTAATGTTTCAACTGTACAAATATTTTGGAGTCTAAGCACTCTATATACGACGGATGGGAGTTTGATAATTGAATACAAGTGATAGCCACAGACTGTTATGAACACAAAATATGCTCTGACTAATTACAATCTAAAATTACGTCAATGAGATATTTACTATAACATTCCACAATTGGTTCTGAGACTTTCTCGCTGTGCCACAATTTATAATATTCAATAAATGTGATTGTATCATTATGTCAATCAGTTAGTCAAACTGAAGTATAACATTAAGCAAATGTATATGTCAACAACAGTTACTACACTAGTAGATTAAACCTATTTTAATAAATTACAAGTTTATGTAACTGGCTTGTGATTATGTTATTTGTATTAAAGCTTTAGTGAGTTTTCGTTCAATTTACGCAGACCAAAGTAAGTGGAACACAGGATTCGAGCCTACAACCTCTGATTAAATCATAATTCTATATTTTGCTGTTTATAAATATAATAAACCCTACTTTATTCATTAAGGAGGAAGAATGTATTTGTAAAATCTCAGCGAAAGAATTTGAAGTAAATCCAACGTTTCACCTGGCAATCTGGTCCAAGCTTTTTCAAGGAAAATATAATATAATATAAAGAAGCTTGGACCAGATTGCCAGGCGAAACGTTGGATTTACTTCAAATTCTTTCACTGAGATTTTACATATATTTTTTTCTCTTTAATGTCTCACATTAACTCGGCGCCCAAATGCTGTGAAACTATTCGTTCCTACATTATTCAGTTCACATTCTCAAAGTTTATTTCTGATTGAATTATTATTTCAAAATAGAAAACATCTATATTTTTTCAATGGAAAACGGAAGAAATACCAATCTTCGAAGTCTTGTTCGACCCGTTTCACCATTATCCAGATGGCAAAAACCACCACTTCCAATTGATACTGCTGATGACGATGATGATGAAATGAGAAGAGGTGGTGTTGATCGTAAACGTTTAGATCGTCGAAGTAGAAGTCGTTCCCCAGTGTTGTTTTCTTCTGTACATCTTGCTTCAAGTGGACCTACTAGTGGTGTAGAGATACAGCCAAGTGAAGAAACTAGACGTATTATTGTACGTCGTCCTTTACAAGATACAAAAGAGGAAGTAGAAGATTATGCAGAAAAACAGTCAAAGTCAAAACCTAATGATTATTCACGATCGAATATTGATGATAATAAACGGCGTTTAAGAGATGAACGATCAAAGAAACTGATGTCACGACCTATTCTATTCAAAAACCGTCCTGTACCAATCACTGCTCCAAGTGGAATTGACCGGGAGAATACTTGTCCTATGCTGCTTCGTTTATTTTATTCCACAAACGCACGTCATTATTCATTGTCAGATTATAATAAACGTCGTACACCGGAAAATGAGATACAATTCAATACATGGTAAGTTGTTTGATTTAAACTAATTCGATTTTATGCTCAATGTGTGTGTTTAGCTTGTTTAATAATCGTACACAAAATAAAGTCACGGAAACGTTTTCTGTGTAGAATATAGGATGCAACAATTATCTTCCTCCTCCAAACTTAATTTTTTATATCTAGCAGTCCACTAGCCTTCCTCCTGTGTCCATTTTTAATATTTAGAACAGCATCCATAAAAGTCCTCGCAAGTCAAGCATCGCCATCGTTTCACGCTGCATCGCCTCAGTGTTGCTATCAGCACCATCACTTCCCATTTTGGAGATAGAAGTTGATCCCAGAAGGTGGGGTACACCATGTTTCATAGGTTGAGAGGGTTTGTGATCAAATTCGGTGGCCGAATCACCCTTGATTTCTTTAGAATCAAAGTTTGTGTGACGTAATTTCGGTCGTTTATTTTACAGATCAAAAAAATTGCAATTTTCATCAAATGATAGTTTAATGAACGAAGCCTTGGTTAAGGTGAACCAAATAATTGTATCATGGAAACTCACACACTGCATTTGTAAAATACAGGAGTAATGCATTATTTGCACATCTTTGAGTCGTCCCTCCAAACTCCACCGTTCTTCTTTTCCTGTTGTGATTTCGATTGCTTTCTGTTTTATATTCTCTTCTCATTTTCCTCTTCTTTCCGTAAGAATCCTATTTTCAATTCCCTATACATACTACTATCTGTCCGTATAAGTAGCACGCATCACAATAGTAGTTAAATAATGTATAGTGCACCAAGGTTAAACTGACTCATGTCCGTTCAAATGGAATCGGTCTTTTGATTTTTTGTTTCCGTAAGTAATACCCTTAATGAGCTAGTTTGTATTTTTACTTAGTCATGTAAAAACTTGCACTGTACTCACAGTAGCCACAGATATATCATTAATATAATACTCTGTGTTGTGCTACTTTTTGCATTAGATTCGTTAGTATGACACACGCTATCGAATAAGCTCCAAATATTCCCCTGGTTTCCTAATATATATTATTATCAATGTCTAAGTTATCCCGTCAATATGAAGGACTAAATTTTGATTAGCCTTTGTTGACATGCTGTTATCCTAGACAGATTGCCTTGATATCATTCTTATTGCCCCCCCGAGTGCCTTGGTACTGCTAATGGTGGGGAGAGTGTACTCATCCTCGAAATGCTCTCATATCGCCACGCGTATATAGCTACTGTCAGGGAAGTCCTACTCAATGCCTTCTCGCGGCAGGAATGTTGTTTACAAAATTGACAGGACAAAAGCGAATATCCAGTGCCTTAACCTGGTTGATGGATGTGTAGGATCCACCTAGGGGAATTGGAATACTGTAATTCGAAATCAACTGTTCATATGGGCTCCTGAGGGAAAAATGGCATATAAAGCAATTGTTGATCACCGGCTACTATGGGACTTCATCTCCTTCCGTTGTACTGCCTTATGGACTAGACCTTCAGGTCAAAGGCTCGGGGTGTATCCCCCTAAGAAAACCATCCATTTCGTTTGGGCGCCCGGACAGTAATCCAGCCCTCACAAATCGCATGGTGAAGTGTGGCATATATATTTGGTGCCCTCTTGTACCAATGTTTATGTTGGAATAAATAAATAACTTATGGTGAATATATCGGTTGTAGCTAGCAGTGGTTATATCGACACAATCCGCACAGAATTCAGATTTACTAAAGAAGACTGATTGAAACTCAGGTCTCACTACCATAGACAGGGTAATTTAAACCTTACTTGTAATGACACAAATATCATCGCCGTTGCACAAGATGCTGGTTATCTGAACTCAAAAGATCAGCGAGGGACACGTTTGGTGTTTTGAGCTCAAAGTACTACCTCGTATGAACACCATCAACATTTAAATGGATATACATGCAGCTTAAAATTTCAAAATAGGACAAAACAGATCCTGAATTTCGTTGCTAATCACATTCCATCTAGGCTATTAGCGAACTGTTAATTTACGATCCAATTAAATGCAAGAACCACCAGGAAATACTGCGATAAAAAGCTATCTACTTGTGAGTAGTACAGTTATAATACACGAATTTCCCATTGTGAACCATGTTGTTTCAACTCAGTACTGCTCTGGATAATTGAGACCAGCGGTCAGTGATTTCGTAAATTCGTTTTGTTTGAAGTCCCAATTCACCTTGGGCGTGTAACATGTGAAAGGACGAAGAGCGAATGTCTGGCGTTTTAACCGGGTTGATGGACATAGAGAGTCCACCTAGGGGAGTTGGAAAACCCTGATTCCAAACCAATGGGGCAAATGCGCTGCAGTATCCTGAGGGAACAAATGGCATACGAACCAATCGTTGGT